GGAACAGTGTAAATGCACTGGAAACTCTTCACAGAAGGTTTACTGGAATGGATGGGTTATCTTATGAAGGCTTGTATGTATTGGAATTTAGAAGAGTAAGAGGCAACTTAATTGAAATATATAAAATCCTGAGGAGTCTTGAGAAGGTTGATGTGCAGAGGATGTTTCCTCTTGTGGAAAATCTAAAACCAGGGGTCCCTGTTTAAAAATAAATGGCTATCCATTTAAAGCAGAGATAACGAGTTTTTTTTCTCACCGAGAGTCGTAAGTCTTTGGAATTCTCTTCCTGATAAAGCAGAGTTATTGAACATTTTTAAGGCAGAAATAGATTCTTGATATGCATGTTGGGGGGTGATGAAATATTAGGAAGGAATATACTGTCACATACATTCAAAATAAAATGCAATAAAAAGTGTGCACCATCGCTCATACGTGAGCGCCATTCGCCGAATAAAATAAAGAAAGATAGCTTAAAGAGAGTCCAACTTTCCTACTTCGCTGCTATTACCACCACCAGAATCCCACTCTGGGCTTTCCAGCCCACGCTGTGCTGCCAAGAGTGCCCTGCTCCGGGCTACACCAGTCTGTGCCATGCCGCTGTTAGAGGGTACTCCACATGGAAAATGAAAGCCCCTCTCTAGGCCTCACAAGCCAAATGAATGACTCAGCTCCCACCTCCGAAAATGCTGCCACCAGAGCCAACGAAGCCACCTCCCACTGAAGAGCTCTCTCAGCACCCCCATCGCTCTGGGACTCGGCCCCCACGATGCCCCCGGTTATGTGGCCTCACCGTCACTCAGGGGACACTGCTCCAGGCTGTGTCCCCTTGGCCTGTCCGTTGCTCCAGGGACTCGGCCCCTCCGAGACTCACTCCGACCCACATCCGATTCACCATCGTCGCTCCAGCCTGCGCTCACTCCACTGCCACTGCAGGATACGGCCGACATGCTCAGCTCCTGCCCAGTCACCAGAGGCAACTCCATTCTTCAGGTGACAGTTAAATAGTTGAAGTTAAAAATAGTTAAAGGTTGTGGTGGTGGGGATGGGGAATACTGGAAGGGGAGAGGGAGAGAGAAAGAAAAAACAAAAGGAAAAAGGAACTGGCGAGCAGAGGAGCTCCGACTGGAGCATTTTACCCTGCAGCCATCTTGATTGGATTCCTGGGATAGGCAGGAATATAGAGCAATTTGCTCAGACATAATCTTATTGAATGGCAGAGTAGGCTCAAGAGGTCGAGTGGCCTACTTTCGTTCTTAATTTGAATGTATGTTCATAAATCCTGGTCAACAATAAATTAAGTGGTCTTCAATCTTGTTATATACACTGTAATGTTGCTACATGCAAATTGATTTCCATGTTCACCTACTCAATAATAGTGACTACAGTTCAAATTTAACTAATTAGCTGTATGATGCTTTAAATGATCCTGATGATGTGGTAACAATTTAGACTTAAAAAGCTCCTTTATTAATGTAATAAAATGTTCCAAACCAAAGAAGCAGACATCAGGACAGGTGATCGAAAGAATGGTCAAAAAGACACAGTTGTAAGGAACATCATAAGGGGAGATAGCTAGTGATGCAGAAAATATTAAGGAAAGAATTCCAGAACTTAAGGCCTGGACAGTGGAAGGAATGTTGGAAATCAGAGATTCATGAGAAGCTAGTTAGAACTGTGGGATTTTAACAGATTTCTTAGATATTTGTGAAGCTGGAAGCTGTTACAGAGATTAAGGTGAAAAAAGGGGGCTATGTGGGCATTTGAACATGAAGATTGATATTTTCAAAATGAAGTATTGGCAGACCTGGAGCTAATGTAATATTAGTGATCACAGGGCTGAAGGTTGAATGGGACTTTGTAAAAATGTTTTTACTCACTCATGGGATGTGGGCATCGCTGACAGGCCAGCATTTATTGTCCTTCCCTAAATGCCCTTGAGAAGGGGTGGTGAGCTGCCTTATCAAACTGCTGCAGCTCATGTGCTGTAGATAGACCCACAAAAGTCTGGGGAAGGGAATTCCAAGATTTTTACCCAGCCACAGTGAAGAAATGATGATATATTTTCAAGTCACGATGGTGCTTCATAGATGCCCAGTCTTGCGTTGCAAGGTCTGTTCGATGTCTACCATTTAGCACAGTGATATTGCCACACAACGCAATGGAGAGTTTTCTCCATGTGAAGGTGGGACTTGTCTCCACAAGAACTCTGTGGTGGTCACTCTTAGTGATGCTGTCATGGACAGATGCATCTGCAGCCATTAGATTGGTGAGAATGAGGTCAAGTGTGTTTTTTTCCTTTTATTGTTTCCCTCACCATCTGCTGCAGACTTTGCCTAGTAGCTATGTCCTTCAGAACCTGACCAGCTCGATCAGTAGTGCTGCTGCCGAGCCACTTTTGATGGTGGACATTGACGTCCCCCACACAGAGTACATTTTGCACTCTTGTTACCCTCAGTGCTTCTTCCGAGTGTTGTTCAACATGGAGGAGCACTAGTTCATCAGCTAAGGGAGGACGATACATGGCAACCAGCAGGAGGTTTCCTTGCCCATGTTTAACCTGAAGCCATGAGACTTCATGGGGTCCAGAATCAATGTTGAGACTTCCAGGGCAACTTCCTCCCAACAGTATAACACTTTCCTGCCACCTCTGCTGGGTCTATCCCGCGGTGTGACAGAATGTATCTAGGGGGTGGTGATGATGGTGTCAGGAACATTGTCTGTCAGGTATGAGTTTGCGAGTATGACTATGTCAGGCTGTTACTTGACTAGTCTGTGAGATAACTCCCCTAATTTTGGAACCAGCCCCCAGATGTTAGTAAGGAGGACTTTGCAGGGTTGGAAGGGCTGTTTTTGATATTGTCTTTTCCAGTGCAGGTAGCAGATTTATCTAGGAGCCCATGTTTATTTTTCCCAAAAGGTAAAGCAATATATAAATGGAAGTTTCTTCACTTAGGGTGTTGCTTGTTAAAAATGCTTTGTAGAATACTCATATAAGTTTAGCATGGACCATAGCAGATATTTTCTTGGTGTGGGGATATCTAAAACTACAGGCCATAAATATAAAATCATCACTCATAAATAGAATTGAGAATTCAGCCAAAGCCTCTTTATTTACAAACAGTGAGAATGTGACAGTTGCTATCACAGAAGAAAGCCTTTCAGCCCATCATGTCTGCGCTGACTCTCCAAATGAGCCATTCCCACATCCTTTGTATAACCTTGAACCTACTTCCTTTTTAAACAATAATCTTAAGTCACTTATGAATGTCTCAGTTGAATCTGCCTGCACACTTTCAGGCACTGTATTCCAGATGTGAACCATCTATAAAGTCATACATCACAGAAACAGACCGTTTGGCCCGTGTCGTCCATACCGACTGCATGAAGAAGTTATTTGGTGCTGAACAAGGGTCACTGAACCCAAAATGTGAAATCTGCTTTCTCATCACAGATGGTGCCAGATCTGCTGAGTATTCCCAGCAATTTGTGTTTTCGTTATTTTCCTGTGTCACCTTTGCTTCATTTCTCAATTACTTTAAATCTCTGCTCTCTCATTCTCAATTGTTTAACGAAGGGGGATTGTTTTCTTCCCACTTACTACGGCCAGACCTCTCACAATTTTGAAAAGCCCTATGATACGTGAGAACAGTTAAGGCAAATAGCAGTAGGCAGAAGCTAGATCGATGAACGAGACAGAAGTGAATAGAGGGATATGCTGCGAGGCTGAGTAAGATGCTCATTTGGTGAGCTGGCACAGACATGGTGGGCCAATTGCCCTCCTTCAGTGCTCTAACAATTCTGATATTGAAGCAGAACAGGATGAGGGCAAAAAAATATATTCCTCTGATGTTCAGTAACGTGCGGCACAATGGCAGCACACTTGTTCCTGAGTCACAAGCTCAAGTCCCACTGCAAGACTTAAGTGCAAAAACCAATGTTGCTGTTCAGTGCAGGCTATTAGGAGTGCTGCACATTTGGAGGGCTGCACATTTGGAGGCACAGTGTTTTGGGTGAGACATTAAAACATAGTCCTGTGGGCCCACCATCACAGCATTTTTAATTAAAGCAGGAGTTATCTATTGTGAAGTGACCAGTGTTTATCCCCAAGTCTCTTTCTCTCGTATAAATAGAATTTTTGGGTATTATATGTTGTGGAAGCTTTGTGGGTGCAGTTGGTTGTTGTTTTGCCTACTTTCCAACACTGACTACGTTTCCAAAACTACTACTGAGTGTAAACTCCTTTGGGCAAAAACGCAAGTCTTTCTGATGTAATTCATTACATTAAGTGTCTTAAAATGTCTGAATACAAAATAAAGACACCTTTACAGATGCACATTTTCTTGCTTATTTAATAAGACCTAAGTAACAATACGAGATTGTAGGAACCCTAGTTCTGACGAGGAAAGGGAAACACTCTGAGTCTCTTCTCCCATTAGCTAGAACAACAAACTCCCAATTCCGTTCTTGGCGCTGTACCCTGTGCTTTATACTTCGAGAACTCAATACAGCCCAATCCTGAGACACTCACAAATTCAAAACCAGCCAATGAAAGTAGTTGTCAATTTTTCTTCGGACCACCTACCTCCTTATGGATAATTAATAAGGGAACGTCCATCAGTAACAATCCAATCAAATCCAGGGGTAACCCCTAGGACCACGCCTCATTGAGTGACGACACTAGGCGTCTTGTCCAATGACAACTGACTGTGCGGCCTTTGATTCTGCAGCCAATCAGATACGAGCATCAGCCAATGGCTGGCTAGCCAATTGGAAGTCCCCATCGACCAATCAAGGGCGGAGGATCAACCAATCAGAGATGGGACCAATCAGACTCGAAACAGCAGTAGCCAATCGGAGACCACCACTAGCCTCATAGACAAGCATTGGCCAATCAGAGGCCGCCCTCGACCTCTGGCTCACCAGGTATTGATTTGGCACCTGAAGGACCCCGTTTGGCGGTGACCAAAAACTTGCCTCGATTTTATTTTTAAAATTGAAAACGAAAATAAAATTAGAGCAGAAAATCAGTGTGAGAAGAAGATTAGAGCCAAGAATTAAAACCCGAATTTAAAGTTAGAGAAGCGGAGAGTAAGGAAGGAAGGAGTGGAGGATAGGTTTAAAATAAAAATACACAGGGAAATGAAAAAAAAACCTGTGAACTGGGAGGGGAATATTTTTCTGTCCCACCTGAAAAGGTGTTTTGGTTGAAAGTTTGAGAATGTGATTGTGGTATTTCTGGTCAGGAGTGTGTGGGAACAGCTGTTGTTGTTGACCTCCCTTCAGTCATGTTAGCCCCTGATGTGATGGCGAGGAAACCCCGTTAGGCAGGCGCTCTTCATGACGGTGAGTTCCTTTCGAGTATTACAAATTTCTCTTAAATGTCTTAGCCCTTATTTTCTCTCTCCCCCTCCCCTTCAAATCCCCCTCCTCCTTCGTTACCATAGAGGGAGAGAGAGAGAGAAAGAAAAAGGGGGAGGGGAAACGACAACAATCTTTGAAAAAATACCCATTATCCTTTTTTAAAAGAAGAAACACCCCCTCCCTCCTCCTTTACCCTCAAACCACCGTATTCTTTTCATTTTATTGAAGAGAACGTTGCAGCAGTGTATGGTACAAACCCCGGGCAGCCTCCTGATATGTTTCTCTCCCAGCTCAGGTTGCAGCTACATTGTATCGCTTTCCCCTTTTTGATACATGCGGATGGAACGTTGATACATGTCTTCGCGTTCCATTTCCCAATGTTGATCAATCTCAATGTTGCACCAATTACCCCCGCCCCCTCCAGCGCCAGCTCCCGCTCCCACTACCCC